CCTAAATATAGTATGAATTTAAATTGAATTTTCAACTTAACAAGTTTAGCAAAATTTTTGTTTACTCTTTTGTAAAGTCATAACCATTGTAATATCTGATATAATATAAGTTGTTTTAAATGGTGTTTCTTATAACGTTCACAATCTCAAACATCAAATTCCTAATAATAATGATATTATTATTCATTAATGTAATTGAAATAATTAAATGTAAAATATTAATATAACTTACTCCATTAGCAGTGACCAAGTCGGCACTTTTATTTTTAATTCCCATTCATGAAATATCAAATATTTCTTTCTTATAAAGATTACCTACATCAATAATCTATATTATGATAGTTTTATAAAGTGTACACTAACATAAAATGAATTAAATCATACCTGTATCATCTGCATTATAGAAGGTTTAAAATATTCGTGAATCTTAACATCTATTTAAATCAAAATCTTGATCACCAGTTAAAGTAATATCCCAACCATAAAATCTTTTCACTGTAAGAATATTTTCTCCAGATATTTAAGTAAATAAGTAAAACTTAAACAAAATAGACAGACATATCATCTATTAAAACCTAAAAATCTGCCTGGCCTTTCATATAAATATGCAAACCAGAATACCTACATGATAATTTTGATGCAATTAAAAGATAAGCTTACGAAAATTTTATAATTACCAGATCTTTTACTAGATTGTATCTTTTTACACCAATAACAATTATTACATAGTCTTATAGAATACAATTTTAACCTACCTCGCTTAAAAAATCAAAAGAATTTTAATTATCATTTGTCTTTGAACCAAAAGTCTTGAGTGCAACGATGCTTGACGGTTCACGTCCTCTTACATAATTAAAATCATCGTCACCAATTTTTTGTATTAGTAAAATTAGCCAATGCATCTAAACATGCTAATTTAGAAGCAGGTCAAATCATAAAATCGAACGACTGACTATTTTATAAGTATTAAATTCTCACGCGTAGCTGTAAATTGTTCGTGTAGGATATATTTAAAGGCTTTCTAAACAATAATAACAAAGTTAATTTATAAGAATTGGAATATTTATATATAATCGGCATTATTAATCAGAATTACTTTTTAGAGAATTAATCGCACTATTAAAATATTTGTATTAAAAGCAATACTATACTAGCAAGACTGATTTTATTATAGATATTTTAGCTATGATTGCAAAATTCATAACCCATAAATGATTATTCCATTTTTAATGCTTGTTTAATAAATCTGTTAAATGTAAACTGCATGTAAATGCTTTATATTGCTCTCCAACATATGCAACTTTATATATTTCGCTACACTAGATTCATACTAGCGACTTTTTTTCTTTTTTCTTTTTTTTATTCTTTTTTTTTATTTTTTTTTATTTTTTTTTCTTTTCTTTTTACCAGTGGGGCTCTTTTCTGTTTAGTGATAATAATTCACTAAGCCCTTTAGTTTAGCCTATTTTTTGATACATTTTGGTTCAAATTGTGCTCTTTTTTACCATCGATCCTTTTTTTTCGACTAGGAATGGCATTTGGATCATGATTTTCCTTGCCTTTGGAAATCTCTGGTGATTTTCATTTACGTCCTGACCCATCTGTCTTGTGTCATTTAACAGATTCAACTTGAACCCGAATCATAGAGCCACTTCTGATACGGGTTGTAGAATCGGCACCACCATTAAGATCATAAAGATAAGAGGTTAAGCAGGAATTGATTGATTTTTTGCTGCTCAATAACGTTCTGCAAATTTATTTAATGCAGTACATAATTGAGGATTAGCATTTTAATAGTCTTCCTTCACTTTGTTCAAAAAATCCATAAATACGACAATATTGGTTTCATTGTTATTATATGCATTTTCATTGGTTTCAATTGCACTATCACTAATTGGCGTTCTCATTTTTGCCTTATTAAAATTTTCACGATCTTGTGAAACAAATTTCCCATTGAGTAATGCATAAAAGGAATTGTCTCTTGTGGTATAACCAAGTGCAACATATGCAAAGAGCATGCGATTGTCAGGTGTTAGCGAAGGAAAAAAATTAAATATAGAAATATTAAATTTCATTGCGACAGCACCTTGGTGCTTGCAAGATGCACCAGATCTACTAGCAGGGCAGGTACACGTTCCAATTTTGCTGTTCACGATGTAAGTAGTATCCTGATTTGCACTAGATACTAGAAACTCATTACTTATATTTAGTCTTTGGATACTGTTCGCATTGATCATTTCCCATCCTGGGCAAAAAAATCGTTTCGCAATTTATAAATGCCCAGGATGGTTGTGTAAAAAGTTAAGTAATCGTTATTCGTAATATCTTTTCATGTTTAAAGTCACAAATTGAAACACCTGTACTACATTGTATGCTTGCGTTCGTGAAAATATAACATCTTTCAATGTACAAAAAGCCTGCTCATCGTATTTGTTAGTATTGTTTCCATACGTGGGTATACCTGACCGAAAAGACAATGCCCAAAAATGATGTCATTCCCATAAAGTCTCAAAATGTTTTTGTAATATAGGATACAAACAATAAAAACTTTGCCTAAACTCAGAATAATGCGAATTCATCTCTGTAACTGATGATGCGTAAAAGATCCTTTTCATTTTTCGCATAATTATTACACGATCTTCTTTATTAATTTGGTGCTTTGAATCATATAACCATCGCCAGAAGGCTTGCAAAACGTGAAACACACATAAAAAATGAATTCCACGTGACCAGCAACGTTCTAGAGCATTGCGCTCAGTGCTTGAATCATCCGTAATAAAAATACATGGCCCGGTCTGAGGTCCATGCCCAAAAAAAGCATAAGGCAGAAGAATTGTTTTTAGTAAATTCATTGCTTTTTCTAATGTAACTTCAGTCTCATCTGAAGTAATAAATAGTCCTAATGGAAGTGCTCCACATATAGAGCTAGTGTAAAAGAGTGTGATCGATGTGTTAAGGGGTTCGAACGACGCTGAAGCGTCAACATAACATATTTCAGCTGATTGTGGGATCTTTGCATGTACTCAAGACATTAAATTCGTTATTATACAAAGAATGAACACTCTTTTACTATGTGCATCGTATTCCTGCAAAACTGCCTGGCCTTTTCCTGAATTATTATAATCATCAACAAGTTTTGATAAACGTTCAAATATCAATTTTCCATTAGAATCGCCCAATGTGTTATTATGATATTGTTGAAAAAGTTTTGCAATGTAATTATAATCAGGGTTGTGAGCCCGATCAGCAAGTACTTCAAATAATTCTTGATCGTTTGTAATGTTCAAATAGAGCTCATCTTCATATGCATTTAGTGCTGATGTGGGGGAGTGTCTATCTCTAAATAGTTCTAAATATTTATCACGCACCTCATTCTTTACGTGACGAAAGCTCAATGACACTGCTAAATTAACTACATGGTTATAGGTAAATTTTATATTAATTTCAAGCGGATGGTTAAATTCTTCAATACACCAACGTTCCAGTCAAAGATGAATTGTTGTGGCACAATTTACATTATGTATTCTACACGATTGCAAACGTTTCATTTCACGATTTTCTTGCTTTTCCTTCACTTTATTACTATGAACACAGTGATGCAATTCTCGAAAAAGCAACTGCTTTCCTTTAATGCTATAATGTTTTGTTTCTGGCATGATAGTTTTTGACCAAGACTCAAATGCCTTAAACCATTCACATGCCTTTTCTTTATTACAAATGTTTACAAACGCATCTATTTCAAATTGAGGAATTATAAAGTGTTCAGTAGTCTGCAATGATGGTAATACATTAAAGTTTTTAATAACATATGAATAATTTTTAGAGAGTATGGGTTTCAACGGTTCAGGTAAAGAATCCCAATTCAATGTTTATAACATTATTTCATTTTCATTTTGTTCTTGTTTATCGTCTAAATTGCCTTTGTTTTGATCATTTTCTGGGTCATTATTCGCAGCGTCATTCAGATCTCTTAGGTCGTAGGTCAGGTCGTTTCTCAGATCATTGTTCAGATTTTCATTCAGGTCTTCGCTCAGGTCTTCGTTCAGGTCATCGTTTAGGTCTTCGCTTAGGTCTTCGTTCAGGTCATCGTTTAGGTTTTCGCTCAGGTCTTCGTTCAGGTTTTCATTCAGATCTTCACTCAGTTTTTCGTTTAGGTCATCACACAGATCGTCATTTAGGTTATTTTTCCGATTCTTGTTCAGGGTATTATTTATCTCACTTTTTTTGGTTTCACAGTTAAACTTTAAAAATTTTTTTTTTTCATTGATGCAATCATTTTAAACCTCAATTTTTTTGCTGTTTAGATTTTCATTTGCATTTTCAGGACTTTTGTTACTAATTTTCATGATACTTTCAATATTTAAGTTGGGATGAATTTTATGAACGTTTATATTTTCCGGGTCGTCTCTGTATTCCATATTACAAAAAGCTAGGAGAAAAAAAAGAGAAAAAAAAAATCGGCTCCAATTTATATAAAAAAAATGCATCGTTCGGAGTTTGAAAAATAAAAA